TTTATGTACTGCACTCAGTGTTTTTAGAGTTTTTATTAATATATATGTTTTCCAAATCTAATTCACAATCATTTGATCTCTGAGCAATAGCGAAGTAGTTAGTAGGAGTTACGCTCTCTTTTGAGGATGCAGGATGTTTAGGTTTAGAAGAAATATCAGTTTATTATCAATTGATTTCAGTATTTTTAGAAGATGGCTATATAGCAAGAAGGTGATTCCTAGTTAGAAAAGATGAAAAAACACAGATTATTAGCAGTTTGGATAGATTGTTCACTTGCAGTACATACAAATGCTGTTTATCTGTTTAAACAGTACCTCTACAGGTATCCCTATTTTGTCCTTCCAGTAACCATTTGGAGTAAATAGAGTAGTTATTCCTATGTACAGATGAGAAAAGTGAGGCTTAGGTTAAAGGCAGAAGGTCCACAGTTGGTAAAAGATTCCACTAGGATTTGATCTTGAGTCTTCCGATTACTTTCCACGAAACTCAAGTCAACTATGATTATTGTTAAAACACAAAACGAAAATGATCAGCTACAGAGACAGAAGCATGCAGACATAAGGAGATTAACTTGGGCCACAGTAAGTCTGAAGAAGTAGAGAAATACGTCTCTTTTGAAAGAAAAGCCAGTGCTACTGGTTTAAAAAGTAATAAATACTTTTCTGTTTACTGTTGTTTGTTAACCAGTACAGGCCTAATGAAAAATCATTGCTTTTTAAGAAAACTGAATTTCAGTCTGCTTCTTAATACTTTTAGAGCTCTGGGAATACCAGTAACAGATCATACCTATGAAGACTGCAGATTGATGATTTCAGCAGGACAGCTAACATTGCCTATGGAAGCTGGGTTGGTGGAATTTACTAAAATTAGCCGGAAATTGAAGTAAGTGTATTTTTAAATTCCTACAGTTTCATAAAGTTGTCCAAAAGGGATTTGAAATCCTGCTTGTTTATTTTCTCCTGCTTTATTAATGCTCAGCTCTAGGACACACTTGGTGTTTATTAGGAAAGTCAGGGTTGTGAATTTATCTTCCATTTTATTCATCTACTTTTTTTTTTTTTTTTCAAGAACAGTTAACTTGGAGATATATACACTGGTCACAGGAGGAGACCAAGGGATAATAAATGTGGATCCACACAGATCCACCTCCTTACTCAGAAATGGCTCAGAGTAGTCAGTCCTGTCACCTTCTTTTACAAAGGTAGCATCGTTAGGTGGGATTGATACATGGTGGCCAGAACTTCACATGTGAAACATAAATTGTCTTGTCTAATAGCAGTTCTGACCATCACTGAACTTTAAGTGCTTACTCTAGTTCTACCTTTCTTTTCTGGGTACGTATTTCTTTTTTTAAAGGTTAAAACCCTCCTTTGTGCTTTTGTTATGTAGTTTAAAACATTTAGAACATTTCTTTTGTCCTACCTGGTATAAAAGGTGTAACCCCCACACCCTTCTTATTATAGTTCATTCTGTTCTCAGTCCTATTAGGAATTTGCAGAATTTATTGATTTAATAGACTTTGGCATCCTCCCTCAGAAGGAGCTGCAGAACCAGTTACTATATCAAAGTTCAATATTAAAATATAACATTTTGATAACTGTTACAGAAAATATTACTTATATCTTCTAGATAACAACCATGTTTTGCCTTTGTTTGGGTGTTATGTTCACAATACTCCCTAGATTTGAAAAGTTTAGATAGTCACTGAAATTGGGCACAGAAGAAATATGTGTTTGGTTATTTGTTTAATTCTACAAGGCAAAAACAGAATGTGATGTAAGCTACGGTATATTTTCCAGTGGGTTTTTTTTTGCGGGGCGGGGAACGGAGTCTCATTCTGTCACCCTGGGTAGAGTGCAGTGGCATCATGATAGCTCACTGCAACCTCCAAGTCCTGGGCTCAAGCAATCCTCCTGCCTCAGCCTCCTGAGTACTTG